ATTGATGTTTATACTTTATTGTGTTTTATTGTAATTATTATTGTAGTTGTTTTAAGTTTTAGTGTTATTGATTTATTATGTTGTTAAATTGGTGCATGTTATTTAATTGAATTATTAAAATGATCTAAAAATTAAGTTACAAAAGTGTTTACCCAACTTCCTATCCGATTTCTTACCCGTTTAATAGGGTAGAAAAGTCGATTAAAAATACCACACCTGATCGGATAGAATAGACCAAGAAAAAATTATTCTACAAAGTATCAGATAGGAAGATGAAAGATTATATTTTCTACCTGTAGGGTAAGATGAACACCCCTAATGATATCTGATATTCACTTGTACCCTTTTCTCATTTATGAAGGATATTTATAGGGTACTTTGAATGAGGGGGCGACTTCTTTGTTGTTAATTTAAAAAGTATCGTTTTACATTAACTTAAAAATGTTATATGAACTTAAAAATTAGATTTAAAAATTAGATATTACATGAATAGGTAGTGAGTCACAATAAATACAGAACCTACGATAAAATCAATAGTTAAAATTATTAAATTTAATTTTTAAGTTCATATAATATTTCTGTTACTAATTTTCTAACGGCAGAAGATTTTCACCTGTGATAGGATGGTTTAAGAGATAATTATTTTTGATAGATACGAAGATTGAGTGTTCTGCGAATGATGTTGAATGCCTATTATATTTTTCTAGGCCAAAGATAAAAAATTAATTGTAACTATTGAATTAATATAGACTTTAACGAATATACAATTTATAATTAATGAAATGACTAAAATAAATTAAGCATTTATATCAAATCTTTATCATTGCTCATAGAAAATTGTAACCAATTCTGCAGGACCAATAGAACCCCTACTTCGTCATCTTTTCCAAAAGGGTTTTTGATACTTTGTGTTTTAAAAGATATCTCAATTTTTATTTTATATTTTTAAAAATTATTTTTTTATGTTGTACATTGAATGTCATAAATTCATTTCAATGTGATTTTCAGAATAACATCTATTTCAAATTTCTTTAAAAATTGATGTATTTGTCACCGATATGTTACTCTTGGACAAAAATATAAACTTATCATTTATATCTTTGGCTGACATGTGCATTAATTTTTAACTGAATTTAAAATGAATGTTAGTATGAACCCTATATTAGAACTAATTTATGACATTAAGGGTGAAATATGAGAAAAATAATTATTTGGTATGCAAAGTAGGAATTGAGATATTTTTTGGGGTGCAAATTGCAATAAGCCCTTTGAAAAATGGCATCTTCGTGATTATTTCTATTTAAGTAGTCATTTCAATATGCCAGAATGAACCCTCTATTCTATTTCTTCCTCAGTTCAAAATCTCTATCTAGGTACCAGAAACAGAAACAGAAACAGAGTAGAGTAGAGTAGAGTTTTCATTTGTCAAAGGAATCAAACTGTCTGGTTCACGAAAGTCCTTGTTTAACCCCTCCCCCCCATAAATCTCGCTCCACAATCTCCCTCTCCCTTTCAACTAATATTATTTGAAGTAAACTGCTCAATGCACAACTGCCACCACCCTTCTTCGACAATCTTTCCCATAATCTCTCACCCTCTTTATCTCTCTATCTCTGTACAGAGATAATCATTCAGCTCAGCTTCAACAACCGTTTCTGTAAGTATATACCATCTGCATTTTTATATATGAATGTCCATGCATATCTCTATGTACTTTCGGTATTTGACAGAATGTCAAAGTGATCATAGTTGTAGCTTGAGTTGATTTCTATCTATACAAATCAGCTGAATTTCTTGGTTACAGATGGAAAGTATTTCATTTCGTATTTATTCATCCAATCAATGCAAGTTTTTCATTTTGTTCAACTGTCCTGTGATCTTTGATTTAGATCTATTGTACTATTCCCAAATCGGTTTTGTTTGTAGAGCTTGGATTTGAAAGGATTAGCCTTTTACTGTTGGGGTTTGCTTTTTTCCTATTGATTTCTGTTGTAAAGGTTAAATTTTTGGAGACATTGACTTCTGTGCAGAGAGGAAAGGAGTATTGGGATGGTGATGAAGGAGGTAGATGACGATCTTGCTTTGTTTCTTCAGATGCGCCACTGTGAAAATCAGAAGAACGATCTTCTTATCGATAACCCCGAGGAGTTAAATGATCCTTTAGGTATGGATTTCTGTTACACCTCCTCTTGATTCTAGTGTTAACTCATGTTATAGAACAAGGGCTGATTTGAATTGAAAATGGACTTTTGATCGGTTTCAAAGTTTGAGTATGCATAATCTTTTCTCTTGGGTTTATTTTTTTGAATCTGCATTGATGGATTGCCAATTTACTTACATGGGTGCAGGATCAAAGACAGACAACTCGTCTGTGATGAAGGCAACATCTACATTTCCTGGTCCCAAGAACCGTACTGATGATTTTTTGAATTCGGAGAATCCAAAAACTGATTATGACTGGTATTGCCGAAACAATTCGATAGCTCGCGTAGTTGAATCGTTTATCAATGTTAAAGTTTAATATATCCATTACTTTTCTGCCTTCATACACACTTCTGTGATGGAAGCGATAATAGCCTGGAAATTTGTTCATTCTGATTATTTCACAGTAGTTCGTGATAAAAAACGAGGAAGACATGTAATTGGATTTTCTAGAATGACTTGTATTGTGATTAAACATAGATGAAGCATTGTGTCAAGACAATATAGAGATTTGCAATCCTGCTAATTTAACAAAGCATTGGTGATCTATGCATTGCTATAGATGCTTGAATAATGGCATTGCTGGAGTTTCTGTCAACTTGAAATAAGATCCAGAGTTTGTTACTCAAAACACAGTACTTTTCAAAATTCAAAAAGTCCTTATGGCATTTATGGATTTCTTTGTAAAAGTATTCCTATTGGAGCTTTCCGCATTTAATAGTTATTCTTTCGATGACATTTAGTTTGGTATGCTCCACCGAAGCTTCTAACATTTACTTGAGTCTCAAGTAGCTCCTGGCCACGGATTTTTGTTTGCTCTATTGAATTGGAAACCTCCATCTCCTTTGATAACAAATGCTGCCGTTTTGAAATTGCTTTTACGCAGGATATTTAACGACCTTTTCCAGTTTGGATGTTACAGTGAGTGTTTTCTATACTGACATGAATCTATTTATGCACGATTTTTTTAGGAATGAACATTTCTGAATGAGGAGGCAGCCACTATTAGGAAACTAAATTTACTGGAGAAGTTATGGATGCTTAGTTTAATTTTTCAATAATTTGGGTATCTTTTCTTGAGTGTAGTAATTCTAACCAATAATACAAAATTATGTGTTAGAAGACTGATTTTTTTGATCTTATGCAGTTGCAATGTTACTGTAAATAAAGTTCACTTTGTTGAAAAAAAATTATTTACTCAGGCTTCTTACACCACCTGGTACCCCTTTATTTCCTTCAATGGAGATGGAAGATCCGAAAACTGTAAGCAAACAGATTGGAATTCCGAATGCCCATCCAACTGCTCTAAGATCTAGGGTAAGAATTTCTTTAAGATTACCTTTGAATATGTTTTATCTCATTGATTGACAGGATCGAGTTTGGCCGAAATTGACTTATTAAGATTCGTTCTAATCTTTTGAAAATCTTTTTGACATTGTGGTTTGCAGCTTATTATGGTTGTCAAATGTATATTTCAATCATTCTCCATTCATTGGCGTTGGTGAACTCAAATTTCCATATTTTGAATTTCGTGGCGTTGCAGTTCACAAATCCCGTTGCAGAACCTGCATCAAGGGGTACTATAACATCTAGGCAGCGAGCTTCATCCACCAATGTAGAGTCTGACAGAAAAGAAAGAAGGCCTTCATCGTCTGGGGGAGTGAAATCAACTGCTTCTAGATCTGCAACACCAACTGGACGACCAAATTTACCTGCAACATTGAAGCCCTCAAGAGCATCCACTCCCACATCAAGAGCCACAGTTCTTTCCTCTAAGCCCACGGATGCTCCAGGACGATCCTCAACTCCAACAAGAGCTACTCGCCGGTCTTCTACACCTACAGCTAGACCCTCCATGCCAGTAGCTTCCAAGTCCACATCAAGATCTGCAACACCAACTTCTCGACCATCCACTCTATCTAGTGTGCCTAGCATGTTGGCTCCCCCTGTTCTGTCTTCTTCAGTGACAAAGGCAAGTACCACAACATTGAAAAATCCTGTGCCATCACGTGGTACTTCTCCTACAGTGAAATCTAGGCCATGGAAATCACCCGAGATGCCTGGTTTTTCAGAGGATGCTCCTCCAAATTTGAAGACATCAATGCCTGAAAGGCCAGCTTCAGCATCCAGGGGAAGAGCAGGTGCATCTAATGCTCAATCTTCTTCTACAGGAACTTTTGCTAACGGCAGAAACCGACGACAGTCATGCTCTCCTTCAAGAGGACAGGTTGTAAATGGTAGGGCTCATAAAACTGGGAGCTCTGTGCTTGCAAGGAGCCGAGGACATTCCAATAGTGGCGATGATGTGAATCCAGTCTTGATTGGTACTAAGATGGTTGAAAGAGTGGTAAACATGAGGAAACTAGCTCCACCAAAACAAGATGGCCCTCTAGATAATCATAAAAACCCTGTAGGGAAGTCGTCTTCCTCACAAGAAAATTTAGGCTTTGGAAGAACACTTTCGAAGACATCTTTAGATATGGCTATACGGCATATGGTATGTAGGTTTTACCTTCTTGCTTGTTAGGCTGTTCACCATTATGCATTACAATGTAAAAGGTATGCACACTTGGTAGGCATTAGGCAAATTCAATCTGCCAAATTCTGGCCATTTCAATCCTTTTTTTGTTATTTACATAGCAATATCCAAACCAAAGACCTACACAACCCCCACCAATCCCTTTACCACCCAAGCTAACGCATAGGGGATTATCGATATCCAACTTACTCAACTGGAATTAGCAAGTCATATTTTGGACATTTGGTGCTTTTATCATAGTGTTGCAATTTTTTGTATTTCTGTAAGTTTTGTTCATGCTTCGTTTCACTGGTTTTATTTTGCGCAGGATATAAGGCGAAGTATCTCTGGTAATCTACGCCCACTGGTGACAAAAATTCCGGCTTCCTCTGTATATAGTGTTGGATCTGGAACCGCAAAAAGCAGGACAGCTAGTCTTTCAGATTCTCCTCTTGCTACAAGCAGCTACACCAGTTCTGACCCTAGTGTCAACAACAATTCTCATGGTTTAGATGGGAGTGAAATGGAAGATGATCTTAGTAGTGAGAAAGGACCCTCCTCTCCCATGAGCCAGAAGGATCAGTGATAATTTTGACTTGGCCTGAAATCTGTACTAGAATTGAACACTCAGATTGATTCCATTTGTTTTTCTTAAACTTGGACACTCAATCAGAGAGAATCCATTTCAGTTGGAAAGAGAAAGACTTCTCTTGTTTGTAGAACTCATTAAAATTTATCTTATTTAAATTTGGGTATATTAACGTCGCGATATTACCCTCGCTTATGTTTTGCTGCTGATGAATCAATGTAATAATCTTTTAAAAAACAAAAAAAAAATACAGAAACATATTTAATTTTCATCTGTAACTTCCCACTCCCTTTCTTTCTTAAGAACAGTCCCTCTTTCGTTCTTGACCAATACTTTCTTAACCATCTCTTTCTCAATACTACATTCAAAATAGTTTTCACTCGTATTAATTTACAGATGCATCGTAAGTGTTACAGAATCTAGTTTACATAGATCTATAAACTATTCTACACAAAAAACGTGTATTATACAACAGGGGAAAATGCGAGATGGAGAATCCCAACCACCAAGGTACGATTTCTAAGAACTTAAGATGTGATTAAAAACTTAAGATGTGATTACATAGATATTGGTTCTTGGTTGTCAAAGAACCAAGTCATACCATTGAAGTGATTAAAAACTTAAGACGTGGGCAAGTCAGGCTAATTCAAGTAAAGCTGGTGGCAGCTGAACTGTTGTAATCCAATTAATATCAGGATAAATACATGAATATAAGGAGATGAAAATAATGATGTGGACGGGTTTTGAAGGCTAGTTCTTCTGTTCAAGGAATGGCTTAGTTGATTAGTTCTCATGTCTGATCAAAAAAAAAAAAAAAGATTAGTTCTCATGAACGCGGTAACGTAAATATGCCAAAGAATTTGACTTTGGACCCTAAAGATTTGTTAGGAAGACTTGTTCGTTTTCACAAGCTTTGATTGCAACATCTTCATTTAAGTGTAAAGGTTGATGAGAAGACTCCTTATCAGTAGTTAGACTTTTATCCAATCACACCCTCTCGAGATTTATTGACAATATACTCCATTACGTTAACTTGCCTACGGTATCGAATNGCTAGTTCTTCTGTTCAAGGAATGGCTTAGTTGATTAGTTCTCATGTCTGATCAAACAAAAAAAAAAAAGATTAGTTCTCATGAACGCGGTAACGTAAATATGCCAAAGAATTTGACTTTGGATCCTAAAGATTTGTTAGGAAGACTTGTTCGTTTTCACAAGCTTTGATTGCAACATCTTCATTTAAGTGTAAAAGTTGATGAGAAGAATCCTTATCAGTAGTTAGACTTTTGTCCAATCACACCTTCTCGAGATTTATTGACAATATACTCCATTATGTTGACTTGCCTGAATTNAAAGGTTGATGAGAAGACTCCTTATCAGTAGTTAGACTTTTATCCAATCACACCCTCTCGAGATTTATTGACAATATACTCCATTACGTTAACTTGCCTACGGTATCGAATTTTTTTTTTTGGTATTATATCTCTAAAATTTATTACTTTAACCAATATTTTTATAATTTTTGTGGGTTATTTAATAAAAAAAAAATTAACACTTTTATGAGTGTTTTTATTATTGTTGTAAGTATTTTTATTACTGTTGTAAGTATTTTTAATTTTTATCATTGTTATGGTAACTATTTTTACTACTGTTATAATAATTATTTTTATCACTTTTCTTCTGTATAAAAAATTATTACTTTTGTGAGTGTTTTTATCATTGTTGTGAGTATTTTTATTATTGTTTTGGTAATTATTTTTACCACTTTTCTTCAATACGTCAACAGTAATAAAAACACACAAAACACTGGTAAATGTCAATATGGTACCAAAATTTATTTTTTCAGTACTATAGACAAGTCGCCATTGTAATATCAAAACGGTATAGCAATTTGTTACAACATTTTGAATTCTTACTTGAATCTTGACGTAAAAATTAAGTTACATTCTTTTTACTCAAACTTGTAAGAAATGAAGAGATAATCAATTTTTTTATTCAAATCACCGATCGTCATATTTTTAAAAATTTAATGGTTACATTACACTCTTTAAAATTCGGTTTGTCATCTTTCTGATTTGAGTTTATTCTTTTTTAAATTAAGTTTGTTCATTAAAATACTTTTAATCAAACTTTTTCCCATCAAATGTTGACTTTAGTTTGGATCGAGATTAGAAGTAACCTAACGAGTAGAAAATGCTAAAGTTATAGTGGTCCCAAATTGCTTCAAGCCAAAACCCAATACTCCTTGCCACAACCCAAACCCTCCTCTTCCTTTGCTTTCTCTCTCCCCCACTTCCCCCAACCTAAGTCCAATCTGAATCCTCTCATATCCCCATTGAAAGAAAACCCCATTGGTGCCCCCTCCTTGGTCCTTTCCCTCTAGTCTCCCACCCTAATTCATGTATATGTCTTATTGTCTTGCAGTCTTCCATTAGTCTTATGCTTACTTTTTTTCCCTCGAGAAAACAAGTAGAAAAGAGAAAATCAAGCTTACATGTGCAGGAGGAAAAATGGGCCTTAAAGACGAGACCAACAAATCGACACAATTACTTCTCTCATACTTTAAATAGCTTTAGTGAGAGACTTTTGTGAAGGGAAAGAAAGCAGAAAATTCGTAATTCATCTCAAGATAGGTTCTTGATTGTGGATTTAATCTATCTTATATTTGTTATAATATCATCATCATCTTTTTTTTTTTTTGGTTCAACGGTTAGAAATGTTTAAATCAACTTATATGCACTTAGACTAATCTTTTNTTTTTTTTTTTTTTTGGTTCAACGGTTAGAAATGTTTAAATCAACTTATATGCACCTAGACTAATCTGTTTTTCGATCCAATAAAAAATAAGTCATACTAAGACTATGTTTGTCAAATAGAGATTCACATCTTCTGAATGACACTTTTGTGCAAAGTCAATGTGGTAATCAGTGATTCATAGTGCATTTTTGCCACTAGTCCATTGTTTACTAGGTCAAAGTCATCTTAGGACATGCCCAACACCCCACTTCCTTAGACCTTTCAAACTTTTTATTTTATTTTATATCACATTCTTCAGTTAGCTGGCTAGCTATAATTCTCACCATGGCATTAAGTTTAAAAGCCTGTCCCAAAGATGAATTGTTCTCTAGTATCCAATTCAATCATTACCTCTAGAAAATCATCCCAACCTCGTGATTTTTAATGAATTTCAATGTACAGAACTTTCACAAATTGTCACAATTCAACAGAGGAGGGCTCTTTTTTAAAAAGCAAACTAGGACTTTGAGATAAGAATTGCCAAAATCTTTTATTTCAAACTATTTTGATTATGGATTATTCCTTAAGGGTTTTTTTTTTCACGATTAGTGGTGTCTATGTTAACTTGTGTGCATTTTGATTAGTTTTTTCCTTGATTCGGTCAAAGACATGTCATTCACGCCGAGACTAGAGGATATATGAAGGATAAATCCCTCATCACCTGACCTTAAGAAGTTGTCAATATTTGAATTCGGAATTTCTAAGTTGCTGATATTCGAATTCAGAACTTTTGAGTTGCCAAAATTCCTTAAGCGTTTTCATTTGTATCACCACTAGTGGTAATTTGTGTCTGAAGGTACGGTCAAATGTGAATGATTTTGAGAGAGATATTGATGTTCATTGGATGAGTCTATTTGATATCGTTAGATGAGTTTATTGAAGTCTGTCCTATTTTATATTACAGACTACGAGTAATCCATGCTTTAAGTTACTATGCAATATGAATGATTTTGAAAGGGATGTTAATTGCTATTGAATTAGTCTATTTGAGATTGTCGAATGAACTTATTGAAGTTTACTCTATTTTATATTATAGACTATGGATAACCCGTGTTTGAAGGCACGATGCAATGTGAATGATTTTGAGAGAGATGTTGGTTTCCATTGTATAAATTTATTTGAGACCGTCAAATAGACTTATTATTGAAACATGTCTTATTTTATAGTATAGATTAGGAAAATTCTATGTGCACTAAATTTATGCACAAAAATTTACACCAAATCAACTGTGGTCCTTGGATCACTGATGAGATCCACTAATNAAATTTATGCACAAAAATTTACACCAAATCAACTGTGGTCCTTGGATCACTGATGAGATCCACTAATTCAAAAGTTGCAAGTAATTTGGTATAAATTTTGGTACATATTTTTAGTGTACATAATATTACTCTATAGATTATAAATCTAAGATTCCACACGGAGACATTTGCCCTGACCTTTCGAGCTGAATTAAAAAGAGAGGTATGGTACCAAAATATTATTTTTGGATACGATAACCTAACCTATCTTGACGCCGTTAATCAAATGGTAGCTGGTGGGATACATTTTCTTGTGAGAGAGAAGTAGGGGCCGACAAACAACTTAGCATTCCTTGAGAATATCTCAACAGGAACAAGAAGAATCATAAGAATATCCGATAGGTCGCCTACAAAGACAGAACAAAACAAGTCCTGCGGCTTTTTAATTTTAAATTCCAGTGGTCCTTCTAGCGATGACTTCATTGCAATTGGTGATATCAAAGTTTCATAAGCTCATAGGTTGCTTAGAAACCCAATTATGTATATATATATATATATATATACACACACACACTAGTGATATTCAGTTACTAAAGTTATTGTATACTGAGTTATGACACTGTATATGTATTAGAGTGTGTACAGTTGGAGTGTGTATATAATAAGTGTGTGTGTGCAGTTGTATGTTATGGAATGTGTGTGTTGTGAAATTTGGGGGAAGTTCGTGTTGGGTTTGTGAAATTTGAGGGGAAAGTGTGTGTTAGGTGTGGGAAATTTGGGGGGAAAAAAATATACTCCCATAAATTCAAAAACTTAGTTTTCTTATTATATATAAAATATGAGTGAATTTCAAATTAACCTACAAGCTCATGAAACTTTCATATATATATATATATATATTATATAATATAAAATAGGGCGACTTCAACATCCAACGGCCTCAAATCAATTCATTCATCCAACGGCTATTAATACTCTTTCATTTCCCCCCAAATTCATCTCTTTTTACTCATTATTTTTCAAAATAGACCACCCTCAATCACTTCATTTGTCAGAGATGCAGCGTCCCCCGACTTCTCCCGATCCATGCCTCTCCTTCATTGTTGTTTCTTTTTTTTTCTCTTTCTCTCTTTGTGTGTGTGTGTTTCACCCAGCGACACCACCACCNCAAAATAG